GATATCTTCAGGGACTGGTTCCCAACCCCCCTCGGATACCAGTCAATGTATGCTCCAATTTCTTTTCTTTTCTTTTTTTTTTTTTTGAGTTGGAATCTCACTCTGTCACCCAGACTGGAGTTCAGTGGCACGCTTCCAGGCACCGCAGCCTTGTCCTGCTAGGCTCTGGTGATCCTTCCACCTCAGCCTTCCAAATAGCTGGAACTACAGGCGCATACTACCACACTTGGCTGATTTTTGATTTATTGTAGAGATGAGGTCTTGCCAAGTTGCCCGGGCGGGTCTCGAACCCACGGGCTCAGGCAATCCACTCGCCTTGGCCTCCCAAAGTGCTGGGATTACAGACTGAGCCACCACCAAGCCTGGCCGTTCCAGTTTCTTATGTTTGGCCTTTGATAGCCACTGGGTCCAGTGTGGCTCCCATAGATATGGAGGGCCAACTGTATATTGGGGAAAATGTCTATGACGTTAATTAACATTTACCTTATTGCTTTCAATGTCTGCATAGTACTTATTTTCTTTCTTTTTTTTTTTTTTTGAGTTGGAGTCTTACTCTGTTGCCCAGGCTGAAGTGCAGTGGCACGCTCACGGTCACCCCAGCGTCGACCTGCTGGGCTCCTGCGATCCTTCTGCCTCAGCCTTCCAATTAGTCAGAACTACAGGTGGATGCTACCACACCTGTCTAATTTTTGATGTATTGTAGAGATGAGGTCTCACCAAGTTCCTGGGCTCAGGCAATCCACTCGCCTTGGCCTCCCAAAGTGCCAGAATTACAGGCTGAGCCACTGAGCCCGGCTAACAGCTTATATTCTCCAGTTCAGCACTTGGAACTCACTTGAGCTCAAAGGGTTGCTGAGGAGATTAGATATTTCTATTTCAGAAACCAAATCAAACAAAAAACTCTGACCATTCATTGGCTAAATTAGCCATGATATATCTGTGCGGAGGATTGCTATGCATCTATTAAAAGTGGTGCTGTAAACTCCTCTTCTGGAAATATACCCAGAAGAACATAAATCATTCTACAAAAAAGTCACCCACACACACATGTTTACTGCAGCTCTTTTTACAATAGCAAAAACATGAAACCAACCCAGATGCCTATCGAAAGTAGTCTAGATACGCTGTGGGCATGGTGGATCACACCTGTGGTCCCAGAACTTTGGGAGGCAGAGGTGAGAGGATTGCTTGAGCTAAGTGGTTTGAGATCAGCCTGGGCAACTTGGGGAGACCTCATCTCTACAATAAATTTAAAAATTAGGCTGGGCTCAGCCTGTAATCCCAGCACATTGGGAGGCGGAGGTGAGTGGATTGCCTGAGCCTACTGGTTCGAGTCCAGCCTGGGCAACTTGGCAAGACCTCATCTCTACAATAAATCAAAAATTAGCTGGGTGTGGCAGCGTATGCCTGTGGTTTCGGCTATTTGGAAGACTGAGGCAGAAGGATCGCCGGAACCCAGCAGGTCAACACTGGGATGGCCTTGAGTGTGCCACTGCACTCGAGCCTGGGCGATGGAGTGAGACTCCAACTCAAAAAAAAAAAGTGGTGCAGCCATAAAGAAGACCAAAATCATGGCCTTCCCAGCAACATGGATATAGCTGGATATCATCATACTAAGAGAACTATTACAAACAAAGAACTGCATATCGCATGTTCTCACTCATAAGTGGGCCCCGATCACAGTGACACATGGGTTTGATTGGCAGATGCTGGACACTGCTAGGGGAGGAAGGGAGAAAAGGAGGGAGTGGACACGTGGCAACACACTGGTTACCACTATTGGGGGAGATAGGGCCAGCTAGAAGCTCAAACTTCAGCTTCATGCAACTTACTTATGTAGTAAATGCTCACTTATAACCCACAACTAGAAATAATAATAATAATAAATAATTTACATTTCCCTGGAAAAATTGCCATTGAATTTGTGACAGCAGAAATATAACAGATCATACTTTTATGAATTTTGGCATATTAATAAAAACTATCAATGTGTAAAAAAAGATGGTGCTGTAAAATATTAACTAAGGACCTGGAAAATGTTCCCTGTACATTAGTAGATAAAATTACATTTGGAAGTTCTCAACGAATGTTTAAATCCACATACAAACAAAGCAATACTGTCACTCTCATTTTATTGGTGAGTAACTTGATTTACCTAAAAATCATGCAGAAATTTGGATCTGGGACTTTTGATTTGAGAATTAAGTTCTAGCCAGGCACAGTGGCTCATACCATAATTCCAGTGCTTTGGAAGGCTGAGTCTATGGGTTCTAGGTTACAGTGGGCTATGATTATACTACTGCACTCCAGCCTGGGCAACTGAACAAAACCCTCTCAAAAAAAGAAAAGAAAAGAAAAGAAAAAATCCAGTGCTTTCTTTACCACACTCATCTGTTTCTGTCTATTAAAAAAAATAATAATACCGGTCATGGTGGCTCATGCCTGTAATCCCACACTTTGGGAGGCTGAGGTGAGAAGATTGCCAGAGTCCAGGGATTCGAGACCATCCTGGGCACCCTGGTGAGACCTTGTCACTACAATAAATCATAAAATTAGCTGGGTGTGGTGGCGCACAACTGTGGTTCTAACTACTTGAAAGGCTGAGGCAGAAGGATTGCCTGAGCCCAGCAGGTTGAGGCTGTAGTAGCTGTGAGCATGCCACTGCACTCCAGTCTGGGTGACAGAGTGATACTTGGACTAAAAAAAAAAAAAAAAAAAAAAGCCAGAAAGATGTCTATAATCAAGGACTATTTGCTCCATTCAGATCAGAAAAGACAGGTAAGTCAGGAGGCCTGACACCCACATTACTTTGTTTGCATAGTCCTTTATAGTTGATACAGCACTTTAAAGCTTTGATAGCTGTTTTATGATTTTAAAAAGGACACATATTTATTGTATAATTAGGAAAACAGAAAAGGGAGACTTACTAATAACATTTTTTTTGTCTTTTCTCATTGCAAATGTAAATTTTTATGAACTTGTTGTTCATATGCTTTTGATTTTTCTTTTGGCTGTTATAGACATTTCCCCATAAAACTAATTGTTCTTCTGTAACAATTTCTAGTGACTGTAGGTGTCTAGTTTTTAATCATTGATCTTCAATTGTTGGACATTGGGTCATTTCCCATTTGTTTTTTATTATTATGAATGATGCTGTTATAAACAACCTGGTCTTTATGAACATCTTTGGTTGTTTCCCCAACATAATTTTTTTGAAGAGTCATTGGTGGGGCGGGGATATCAATGTCTGATAATGCACTCTCCATTTACTTTGCTCTTTTGATCCTTAAACTAACGTCACGAAGCTGTCAGGGAAGGAATTATTATCCCCATTGTACAGGTTGGAAGTTGAGGCTTATAGAATTGCCATTTGCTCAAGATAAGAAATGACTTTGGAATGAGAAAGGGACTTGCTTTAATTCAGTGAGTCTGAGGAAGTGGAGTAGGAATGGCTTTATATTCATCTGTCTGGTTGTATTATCCCAAATTTCCAGAAAAGTCCCTTTCCGTAACCTCTGGCCCCACACAGAACAAGTTCTCAGTATTTGAAGAGGCCCCTCTGTGGTTTTGAGTGTTCCCTTCTCCAACATAAATCATCCTTATTCCCTCATGAAACACAGCTTTTAGTTTACTCAGTGTCTTTGACACCACTCTGGGTATATGCCGCTTTATCAGTAATCTTAAAGTGTGTGTACTAGTCAGCTCTTGAGGTTGGAAGTGACATGACAGAGACTCAATTGAAACTGGCTTCAAGAGAAAGGAAATGCTGGCTCCAGTACCTGGGAGCTCGCAGGGTAGACCTGACCTGGCCTTGCCACGGTTGGACCCTAGCATTCCAAGGGCATTTTGAGGGTTTGTCTTTCTACCTTTGGATTCTGCTAGCCCCGTTGTCACATCAGAGAGATGTTCACTCTCCCAGGTTCTATAAATCACTTCTTTTGTGTGTGTATGTGTTGGGATCTCACTCTGTTGCCCACACTGGAGTGTATTAGCACACTCATGGCTCACCACAGCCTCAACCTCCTGGGCTCAGGCGATCCTTTCACCTCAGTCTCCCAAGTAGCTGGAACTACAGGCATGTGCCACCACACCTGACTAATATTTGTATTTTTTTATAGAGATGAGTTCTTACTACGTTGCCCAGGCTGATTTTGAACTCCTGGAGCTCAAACAATCTTCTAGTTTCGGCCTCCTAAAGTGCTGGGATTACAGGTGTGAGCCACTTCGCCGGGCTGCATCACTTCTTTTTTTTTTTTTGAGTTGGAGTCTCACTCTGTCGCCCAGACTGGAGTGCAGTGGCACTCTCCTGGCCACTGTAGCTTCAACCTGCTGGGCTCCGGCTATCCTTCCGCCTCAGCCTTCCGAGTAGCCGGAACTACAGACGCGCACTACCATGTCCGGCTAATTTTTTGATTGATTGTAGAGATGAGGTCTCGCCAAGTTGCCCAGGCGGGTCTTGAACCCGCGGGCTTAGGCAATCCACTCACCTCATCCTCCCAAAGTGCGGGATTACAGGCTGAGCCACTGAGCCCGGCCTGCATCACTTCTTATACGTAGATTCTGATGGGCTCTGATTGGATCATGGGCCCACAACATGACAGCATGGGAGGTGTGACTTCCTCCAGTGAAGGGGGTAGTGTCAGCAATGCGTGTCCATCATGTTGTGATATGTAGAATTGATGACTGGCCAATTAAGAATAGTGAGACCGTCATCTCTCTTTTTCTCAATATTACTCTTTGACTGATGCAACCTAAAATCAAAAGAGGTTCCCTATTAAGATGTAAACATATCACGTCAAGTGCTGCCGCTCAGTCTTTTCCTCCCTTCTCATATTGCTGGACTCAAAGTTAGGTCTTTAAGCTTATCCTGTTAGATTTCTTTTTTTTTTCCCGTCTCAGGTTTATTTGTACAAATAGCACAGGAGGACACCAGCCCCATGCAGATAGCATCCTGGGGGTCAAATCAGTCCTTCTGTCCACACATTGGCAGACAGAGGCCTCTACTCTGGAGCTTTTGTGGGGATCTGGGCACCTTTGGGAGTCTGAGCAGGAGCTGGAACTGAAGCTGGAGTTGCAGGTGAAGCTGCGGCCGGGGCCTTAGTTTGATCCTTGGCCTTTGGCCGGCAGAGCCTGCGGCCCTTGGCAATACAGGCACAAATACGCTTCCCAAGATTGGGGTGGGCAATGTATGCAAGTTGAGTAAGCTTGCAGCCAGGACCCTTTGGGATCTTAGGTTTAACCTCCTTGGGCTTTACGAGGGGCTTGATAGCCTCAGCACATGCACTCATGGCACTGGCGTTGTTGGCTTGCATCTTCTTCAGGCCCTTCTTGTTGTGCTTCTTGGCAAAGCGCATGTTCCTCAGGAACTTGGGGTCCATCCCCTTAAGAGACTCGTATCTTTGTGATCGGGGTTTCTTGATGCCATTTCTGTGCCATTTTCGGGACTGGTTGTATGTGGTATGGTTCTTGGACTTGGCCATGTCTGCACCGTAAGCCACTGCTCCTGAAGCGCTTGTGACCGGAGAGCCTGTTAGATTTCATATGGCTGTATTGGGGCCACAGTATCAGCCTGTTAAGATCTGTTAGTCCTAATTCTGTCACTGGCTTCCTGCTTCTCCCTCCCAGCTCAGAGCACTCTGCAGTCAGGTGATAGGATGCCATTGACATCTGGGAGGGGTAGGCATGGGAGATGGTGGTCAGCTGCCTCCAGAGAGCCGCTTCTTCTCCCACCTGCTCCCTCCCAACCCTGAAACTGCTTCCATTTTTTTTGCGTGGCCCATGAGGTCAGCCTTCCGGGTTCTTGGTATATTAAAGGTTACCAGGAAGGGCATCATACCAGCTCAGACATTAATGTATTGGTGTAGGTGGACACGGGAGGTGTATCAGAGAAAGCAGTCATGGATCCATTTCTGGAGGCTGTCAGGCGCTAGCGTGTTCCTGGGAAGTGTGCAGTGGGACTGGCAATCCCTGAGAGTTGTGCTGAGCTTGCAGGTTTGTCACGCCAGCCTTTGCATGCAGGCGCTCTTGGTGCTGGTCGGGGGGGTCATGGGTGTGCTGGAGGCTTTTGGCCTCCATTGAGCTGTTGAAGACTCCAAACTGTGTTGGTCAGCTGCAAAAATAGTTTTCTTCCTTTGTAAGCAAGAAACACAAAGCAGCCCTTCAGAGAGGGTGGGCAGGAGTGTAGCAGTTCTGGCAGTATGTTGCATTAATCCAAAGTGGCATGGGGTGAACCACCCCGGATGGCCTGGCAGAAACAGAGTTGGACAGCAGCATCCGGAGGACCCCTGGAGGATAGAGGGCAGTGGGGGAGCCTTGCCTGGAGGGCCCTGTGTCCACAGACCACAGCAGGGAGGAGGCCTGATCTAGGCCCTGGCTCACCCGTAAGTTGAACAGGTGCAGGACTGGGGCACATCCCTCTCCATGCAGCCCTGTGAGAGCCTCATGTGTGCTGTGTGTGTCTCTGTCTCCAGAGTGGAATATGGTTGTCTGGGAGGAAAGGGAGGCAGATCTCTGCTGAGGTATGTTTATGGGTATGTGGACCTCCTCACTTCACGGGGGGTTTGCCAAACCCTTCAGTATTTTGACAACTGTCCCTTTGACACCTAGAAGCCTTCCTGTGCATGGAACCCCTGATCTTTCTATTTTCTCTGCCTGAGCTAGATCCCAGCAGAGGTTTTGGTTTTGGCTTGGGCTAAGTGGGGCTCTCATCTTCCCCTTCCCTCCACTCCCTTCTGCCCTCCCTCCTTCTCTGTAGGCCTTATTTCCTCTTTTGTATATACCCTGAGTTCTCCTTCACCCTAAGGGTGGGTGGGAGGGTGTTAGGGATTGATTTCCTCATTTTTGGATGGGCCCTTCTTTTTGGGCAGTAGCTCTATAAACAAAGGTCTTGGGTCCCAAGCTGAGGATGGTTGGTGAGGGGTGAGGCAGCAAGCTGGCGTGTGTAATGGGGGTGCCTGAATCACTCTGATGCCGGGGGGACACAAGACAAGTACCTGTTTGGGGCTCGTTCTGGCTCCCGGCCTGTCCACCAGAGGGACCTGGTTTGGAGGACACCTGAGTGTCGGGGAAGGGGAGGTGGGGCAGAGGTGCTAGGTATTGGACTATCTTCTCCTGGACCCAGGGTGCTGTGTGGCCCAGGAAACCCTGGCAGGAGGTGGCTTGTGAGGGTGGGTCCCAGGAATGGAGGGCTTCATGGCCTTAAGCAGAGCTATTTCCGCCCTTGACCTTCTCCACCTGGCAGAGACACAGGGGGACCGGCACTGCCTAGATGACAGCTACTCAGTTGGTTCGAACCACCCAGATTTTTGCTTATCTTTACTCTAGGAGAACAGAAGTCTGCTTGGGAAATCCTGTGTTGGCTGGGGGCAAGGGATGTGGATGAGTTGGGGTTTGCCCTTCCAGAATGCTTCCTGTACTGTTCTGGGGGTTGCTGGAGAAATCATAGATTAATGGGAATGTTCTTTCCTAAACTTTAACTAGCAAAGCCAGAAAAGTGTTTGCCAGTTAATAATGTACATGGTGAGATGTTGAGCTGAAATTTAACAGCCAATTAAAAAAAACAAGGCAGAGAATTTAAAAAATAGGACATCGAGGGCACCCGTGTCCTGGAATGGTTTCTGTGTTTCTGTGGAATCAGTGATTTTGTGCTGACTGGGAGGGTTTCAGTGGCCCTGTGTCGTTGGTGGCCTTTCTGAGAATGCCTGATGCCTGGCTCCTTGTCCCCGAAAGGTAGCTGAGTGTGCAGCCCCTGTGTGGATGCAGGAAACCGCTCACCACCCTGGGTGACCACAGCCTGGGGCGCTTTTCTCGGTGGAGAGCCCATGCAGGCTGCAGGGGAAGAGGAGGCCGAGACCTACCCCATGAAACTCTCCTGGTCAGAGCAGGGTGGGGCCCACCGAAGGAATAAAGCCAGGGAGTGGAGTTTCTGCTCCGATATCTGAGATGACAAAGTCCTTCTGCAGAGTTTGCTTTGGAAAAGAGAAAAGGTTAAAAAAAAACTCTCTGAATGGAAAATTTAAGGAACCGGAAACAAAGGCTCCACTTGGATTCTGAGCGGTGTGTGTTACTGGGGAGATTGTGCCTTTTGTTAGAGGCCCTGGATCCCAGTCAGGCCCTCCCTGGCTAGCTTAGGCACCCGGTTTCACTTGTACCCTGGCTAGGGACTCCAGATGTCCCCAGCCTTGTGCCCTGGTGGGCTTGTGGTTCACAGTGTGGCCCTTGGAAATGAGCCCCAAGGTGGACTGTGCCTGACTCGTGTCTTTGTCCTTCAAGGTGTCTGACACTAGTGGTGGCCCCTGAGTGTTTCTGGGACACACAGGGTGGATACTTACAACTGTGTGCAGCATGAAAACAGACACACATGCACACACATGCACGCACGCACTCACAGAAGCACATGCACACGTGTACCTCTGGTCCTGTTCCTGTGTCTGTCTTTCCTCTCCCCAGCTCTAGCTAGGGTGTGCCTTCTCTTGCATCTTGTGCATTTCTTTCTTTCTTTCTTTCTTTTTTTTTTGAGTTGGAGTCTTACTCTGTCGTCCAGACTGGAGTGCAGTGGCATGCTCATAGCCACCACAGCCTCGACCTGCTAGGCTCCGGCGATCCTTCCGCCTCAGCCTTCTGAGTAGCCGGAACTACAAGCGCATGCTACCACTCCTGGCTAATTTTTGATTTATTGTGGAGACAAGGTCTTGCCAAGTTGCCCGGGAGGGTCACGAACATCTTGTGCATTTCTATCTCTACCTGTTATTTTCTTCTTGTTGTTGTGTTTTGGGTTGGGGTCTCGCTCTATCACCCAGGCTGGAGTGCAGTTGCCTGATCATGGCTCTCGGCTCACTGCAGTCTTGATCTCCTGAGCTCAGGTGATCTGCCTCAGCCTTCTGAGTAGCTGGGACTACAGGCATGTGTCACCATACCCAGCTAATTTTTTTTTACATTTTTTTGTAGAGACAAGGTCTCTCTATGTTGCCCAAGCTGGTCTCGAACTCCTGGGCTCAAGCAATCCTCCTACCTTGGCCTTCCAAAGTGCTGGGATTATAGGTGTGAGCCACTGCACCTGGCCTCTACCTGCCTTATTGAAACAAACAGTACAGGCTGGGCAGGCATTGTCCTGAGTGCTTTTATGTGGCCCATTTACTCTGCAGAGTCACTTTATGATATAGGTGCTAGAATTATTATGTTACCATTTCATAGATGAGAAAATTGGAGCCAAAAGAGATGAACGAGGCTGGGCTTGGTGGATCAGCCTGTAATCCCAGCACTTTGAGAGGCCGAGGTGAGAGGATTGCTTGAGCCTGTGGGTTCAAGACCCACCAACCCACCCAGGCAACTTGGCAAGACCTCTTTTCTACAATAAATCAAAAATTAGCCGGGCCTGGTAGTGCACCTGTACTTCTGGCTACTTGGAAGGCTGAGGTGGAAGGATCGCAGGAGCCCAGCAGGTCGAGGCTGCAGTGGCCATGAGCGTGCCACTGCCCTCCATCCTGGGTGACCCAGTGAAACTCCAACTCAAAAAATAAAAAAGAGGTGAACTAGTTTTCCACAAAAGTTAATGGTGATACCACTGTTCACCCAAAGGTATCGCTGATTCCAAGGCTGTGGTCTTGATCTCCCTTTTCTGGGCTTTGAACTGGAGTAATGTGGGTGCCTTCCCCTGTGTCTCTGTGTATAGGCACCTGCCTCTCACTTCCTTCAGGAGGAAGAAAGCCCCGGATGAGTTGGTGATGGAGATGGGGTGTTGGTGGGTTTTATGAGTTTATTTCCCCCCCAGATGTCTTTATCATTGCCATTGGTTACAATACATTAAAATTAGGAGGGAGAAACAGCTATAAAGGAGGGCTAGGTCTAAGGTAGGGGGTATTCAAACTTTTTTGATCAGCTGGGCTCAGTGGCTCAAGCCTGTAATCCCAGCACTTTGGGAAGCCGAGGCGAGAGGATTGCCTGAGACCCAGGGTTTGTGACCAGCCTGGGCAACTTGGCAAGACCTCGTCTCTACAATAAATCAAAAAATTAGCCAGATGTGGTAGCATGTACCTGTAGTTCTGGCTACTTGGAAGGCTGAGGCAGAAGGATGGCTGGAGCCCAGCAGGTTGATGCTGGGGTGACTGTGAGCATGCCACTGCACTTCAACCTGGGCGACAGAGTGAGACTCTGACTCAAAAAAAAATTTTTTTTTTGATCATACATAGCCCATGACTAAATTAGCATGTACCCCAAAACAATTATACTCATTTGTACATTGAATACATACCTGCTGTGCTAATAATGTGCCTGTGAGACACACACTCATGTATTTAAAAGGATGATAAAGAAATAAGCATGAAGAGATGTTCTGCTGTCTTCTTCCCGACCTGCAGTGTATCATCCCGAGCACCTCATGACTGAGTGCTGTGGACTTTGGGGACCCCTGGTCTCTCCCAGGGCATCGCTACTGCTGTGGCCCAGTGCTCTATGCGAGAGGGTACACCTGGCAGTGCCCTCCAACTTTAGGGGCACTGATTCTCAGATG